ATGAAAACCATTGTCCTGTCTCAGTTAATATTTGGCCCTACAATTTGTAAAGTGGCCGCATTTATCTGTTTTTTTGTTTGTTTGTTTGTTTTTGCCAGAGTTGAGGTTTACTTGAACTCTTAAGCTCTCCTAGGGTGGGAGACCAATTAATATGGGGCACTCTCGGAGACTAATGAATCCAGAAAGATTCCTAAATGCTCTAAGAGATTTACCAACTGCCAGTGATTCTGCCTATGCTTGCTTGATCAATAGGGGAATGATTTAGGCAATTGGCACAATCACTTCTGAGAATTTCTTACTTTGGTGCAGAACACCAAAGTAATTATTCCATGTTGTTTTTTTAAGGAGTTCAGGACAATGAAGGGCTTGGGTAGATGCTCAGAGCAATGTTTGAAGAAAACTTACAATAAATCTGATCATGCATGTGTTGTAGAAAACCAGGACCCCAAGAACTCACACTGAAACCTGCAGCTCCATAAGGGCTCAGAAAGGGAGTCCGTGATAACATTTTCCCCAATTCCAGGTAACTTTACATAAACACATTGCACAAGCCTCACATACACACCCCAAGGACATCCAGTCTAAGGAAAAACCCTAATCCCCTTCACAATGTCCTGTCAGACACAGAATGGGCTAACCAAGAATACAGCTGCCAAATCTGACCTGCTTCCTGGGGTTTCCATTGAAGTTATTGCAACACCCTCAGCACCCATTGTTGGTTGAAGCCCATTGTTCTATTTCAGCCAAACAGGAACAGAGCCATCGCCACACCAGCCACATTCTTTTTTGCTCACACCCCTTCCTTGGGCAGACTAAGAACAGCTGCTAGACTTCAAATCAGGCAATGACAATTTATTAAATTTCCTGCCATACCCGGAATCAATCAGCAATGATGACAGATGGTGCTTCTCCACATATCAGGGATGGGATTCTAGCCAGCACAGACATAGACCAATCGACAACTAGTATGGCAAAACCTTTTTGTTTTGAATGGCTGCCAAAGTGTTATCAATAAACCAATTGTGGGTATGTCATTTTTTGGAGTATGGACTCTGCTGGCATTCATGTTTGGTCAAGATGAATTAAAGCCTGTGTTCTTTTCTTTCATCCCATCTGTGTCATATTTGCTCCTTTGGAAGCTTGACATGCCGGGCTACCTGAACCCACAGTCCTTGTGGAGCTGAAATCACTTAAAACTTGGAAACCGCAGAGTAAATTGATTTTTTAAAAAATCACATTAAAACCTAAAATAAATGATTTCACATTGAAAATGAAGGACCGTGGTGTATTCCAACAACACCAGAGTCAAAATAAGGGTTATTTTGCTGGTATGTATCCAGCCTCAGCTGAGTAATTTCCACAGGCAAAAAGGTCATGATGCAAAAAGGCTTGTGTATCTTGAAAAACAACATAGCCAGCTATTGTGTGGACAATGGAAACTAAATGTTTCATGTAGACTTTTGTCTATGCCTAAAATGAGTTTCTAAAAGCCAGTTCTCAGCCATGGTCATTCAAAAGTTCTGTGAAGATGTTCATGGTAATATCTTCTTAATAGGATCACAGCTGAACCTTTAACATAATCATACAGCCATAAATATATAAACTTGCAATGTGGAAAACCCAAGCTGCTTTTTTTTGGCCTCAATTTGCCATTTCCCACACTTCTTTATATTCACAGTTGCAAAGAAAAAGATATGCATACTTAGCTAAAATGGCTGAAGAGCTCTTGAGACTCTAAGATAATGAAGGCAGGCAGAAGGCTCCGTCTTAGTAAATAATCAGGTCCTAGCTCCAGTATTCTGTGAAATCATTACAGGAAATCAACTGAATAACATAAAAAATGAAAACCCTTTCAGTTTTGCATTATGAGAATTGCTTACCCTTTTAAAGAAAATTGAAAGGACCTATAGGTTATTTTTTTTTGTCGTGCTGCTTTAAAATTCGTCAGTATGCAAATATGAATGGACTGTTCTTTTTTTTTTTACTAGCTGTGTTACTAAATTGATCCAGATAAACTGATATCACTCTGTTCATTTGGCTGCTTAAAATAATTGGATGTACTTCTGACATGCACCTCTGCAAAGTGAGGTAGAAAATTAAGTTTCCTGTCTTCATAGGCACTGCCAAGTCCACAAACCTTAAGAAACTTGTCTCTTTGTTTTTCTGCTTGAAGCTTATCTTTAAAAAATTATGTTCAGCTGTGGATGTTACTATTTCCTTATGAATGCATTCCTAAAGCAATATTAACTCTCTTTTTAACCCCACTACAAGCTCCAAAATGTTATATTAGCTAAGCACACGAGAAAGGAGGGGGACTATGTCATCTGTTTATTTTTCTGTTACTGTTAACTGCCATCAAATCACTGTTAACTTATGGCAATTCACAGCCATGGCTTCCTTGACTGAGTCTATCCATTTGTAATTTCAAATCCACCTGTCTTCCTCTTTTCCTACTGCTTTCTACCTCCCTCATCAAGCATTATTATCTTTTTCTAGTAAATCATATCTTCTCTCGATATGTCCAAAGTACAAACAGCCTCAGTTTAGTCATCTTGGCTTCTCGGGAGAGTTCAGGCTTGATTTGCTGTAGGGTTCATTGATTTGTCCTTTCTAGCACCAAGGTATTCAAAGTACTCTTTTCCAGCCCCATGTTTCAAGTAAGTTGATTATTTTATTGTCATTTTACTTCACTGCCCAGCTTTCACAACTATAATACAAATTGGAACGGGTAGTCCTAACTCTAATATTCAATGATATATCTTTGGTTTATATTGGTTTAGAAGATTATATTTCCTATACCCAGCTTTTTTACAACTGTATTCTTGGAGGCTTTCATGGCTGGAATCACTGGGTTGTAGGTTTTTCAGGCTATATGGCCATGTTCAAGAAGTATTCTCTCCTGACATTTCGCCTGCACCTATGGCAGCCATCCTCAGAGGTTGTGAGGTCTGTTAGGAACAGGGAGGCTATTTACACATCACTAAGTGGTTCCTGGTAAAAAAAAAAGGTTGGGAACCACTGTTCTAGGTTAACTAGTCTCTCTTTGCATAAAATAGGTTAGGAGAAAGTCATATCCTCTAACATTTCACAAATAAAAACTAGGACATGTGGGACCAAGTAACATAAGAGTCTTGTCAATATGGAGAAAGTTATGAATGGGGAAGAACACACAATCTAGGAAATGTGACAGCAGTTTGCCATTGCCTGAACTACTAAGAAGAACAAGATTCTGTCTGTTCATCTCTCCTCCAACTTCTGGGTTTTTGAGTGTGAACTACATTTGCAAACCACTTGACCAGGAACCACTTTGACCAAGGACTACTTTAATAGGGACCACTTGAACAGCGACCACTCTCCAACATTAGTACCAAAAGGGTTACTAATCAGTTTTTGGTCAACTTTAGATTCGGTTTGGTTATTTGGGGTGCTGATTCAGAAAATTGCATTGGTTAGACCACATCAGTTTTATTTTCTGACACAGAACGTATGCCATCCAGTAGTTGCCATCTGTTCACCCATAGAAATCCATATTTAATAATCTAGAGCTGATGTGGTGGTAGTAATCATTTGTGGGTAGTCAGCCTCTCCCCTCCCAACATCCCTGTTGCCTTGGTGCTATAAGAGATCTACACAAGACCACTTGTTCTCATTGCCACATGGTTTTGAGGCAACAGTGTCGTAATCGTGATACTGCAGACACTATTTAAGCTGAACAGTTTATAGACCAATCAATGAATACAGAATTGTCTGAGGAAACATCATTGGATCAAACTTTTTCCTCTACATCAGTGGTTCTCAACCTGTGGGTTTCCAGATGTTTTGCCCTTCAATTTCCAGAAATCCTAACAGCTGGTAAACTGGCTGGAACTTCTGGGAGTTGGAGGCCAAAACACCTGGGGACCCACAGATTAAGCACCACTGCTCTACATTAATCAGATAAACATTTTGGATGTAGATATGTGGAAAGATGTCTGTAGCACCATCTAGAGTTGCCCGACTAAAAACAGGAGAGGATTCCTATAGCTTTAAGGGTTGCCAAGAAAAGGAAATTTCAGCAAGGGTAGCTTGTTACCTGGTTGCATGACAAGCAGCACCTGCTGAACTTTCCTCTGCTACACAGCCATTAAAGCACTGAGCTGTCTGCTTCTTTCTTGACAGCCCTATAACCACAGATGATGAAGGATTTTCAGAAAGTGTAGCTATGCATAGTATTCTTGTTAAAATGTCAAGAAAGTATAGAGAATTTGTATCGGGGAGTCTAAGTAAGGAACAAAACACAGCAGCTTAGAGAAACAAAGCAAAAGGCTTTAGTATAGAAACTGTATTCTAAAGATAAAAATATCATTTGAGGAAGCCGGTAGGAAGTAGTGAAAAATATCCCCCAGGTTATTATTTTACACAACAGAGAGCTTAGTTTAGAAAAAAAAGAAGGCAGGCAGTTGAGGTCACTCTGCCTATTTGTCTGTCTAATCCAGTGGTTCTCAATCTGTGGGTCCCCAGTTGTTTTGGCCTACAACTCCCAGAAATCCAGCAAGTTTACTAGCTGTTAGTATTTCTGAAAGTTGAAAGCCAAAACATCTGGGGACCTACAGGCTGAGAACCACTGCTCTAATCAATCTATCTATTGCCCAGTCTATACAGCTATTAATGGCATAGGTCCTGTCTACTTTTGTAGCCAGTATTTTTGCCATGGCAGTACAACTATACCATTCCTACTTTTTCTCAATTATTACAGTCTGGTTCTTAGTCTAAAGATGAACAGTGTTTTAAATGGTTACCACAAAATTACCTTTTATAGTTAATTGGCAACTCACGCAGAAATATGGATCTGTGAGTGTCTCACTGACTCTCAGTGTGCCCCTGTAATGTGACATTAATACAGGTCTCTTGCAGAGCCAAGTCAAATAATATTGAGCCCAGCCTATTTTTATCTTCTGGCTTTCTCTCCATCCACATGAGACTCTGACATCAGCAGCTGACTTGGGAGGCACTGGCTTTCTGTTGCTTTAATCCCCTCCCAAGCTGTAACTCTCTTCTCCTCCCACCTGGTTTTCCAAAGCTGTAAGAATCCCAAGGGAAAGAAAACTTCAGAAGAAAAGAAGGTACTAAACATGCGACTTTAAAAATGGCTAACAAATGAGAAATTTTATCGCTGTGGTTAAAGATAGTAAATGACCATTTACTACCGGGAGATAGAGTGGGATATAAATAAAGTGATTATATAGAGTATGTCACAGCAAACGAGATATATATGCTGGATTTTGTATCACAAAATCACAAGTCGAACACTTCCCAAGCGTCTAGGACTGTGTGATGTATTTTTGAATGATGTGGACAGATCCAAGTAAGGTGGCCTTTTGCAGTTGACAGAGCGTGATTTTGTTAATTTCAAAGACTCAATTTTATTACACCATTGTTTATAATAAAAAATAAACTTTAATAATAAACTTTATTTGTAACTCACCCTATCTCCCCGAGGGGACTCAGGGCAATTTCCAGCAGGGAATGGCAAACATTCAATGCTATAAAACAATTAAAAAAACCCAAATTACCCATAAATAAAACATCAATAACAAATTATAACAACTAACTAAGAGATATAAAGTTAAATATAAAATTAAATACAAAATTATAATTGGACTTCAACACCCAGAAATTTTTATATCCATGGGATGTTGTGGAATCTAACTGCAATGGGTACCAAAGGTCAATTGTAACCCATACCAGATAATGTCTTAGATTACATGGATTTTGCTCACAGCTAAAGTCAACATCCGTAGTTTTCTTCCTTTCAGGCAGAAGGAGTGTTAAAATATGAGAAATTTGTCCTAAATGAAAAAGCTAGCTACTTGTGCTATATATATATCAACAAGTGGACAATTGGAAGTACAGGGAACTGAAATTATTCTCACTTTCTAAAATTGCTTTAGCAATTGAAATTCTAGGAATCCATTTTTGCAGAATGTTTTTATCAACCTATGCCCATTGAATTATGAACTCCCAAGTACATTATTGTGCAATGTGAGATTACAGGACACCATGTGTGTTTGATGTATTATTTATTGCCTTATATTGCTAATACAAGGTTTATGACTTGTGATATATTAATTGATTATATGAATGCATGACAAATATGGACAGAGCAATAGGGACAGAGTCTGATACACTGTCACCAGGTTTTCAGGGGACTGGAGAAACTAGAGTAAATGACTAAAGAAATACTGCTTCATGGGAACCAGAGAAAAAGTGTATGGCATTGGTGTTATTTCATTGCATGCTAGCAGAAGTATCCAGCTTTGCAAGAATTAGAAAGCTTACTCCTCCCTCTGATTCTTATGCTTTGCTTTTTCCTAGTCTTTTGCTCAGAGCCAGCATGTGTTATGGTCTGAGTGTTGTCCTATGACTCTGGAGATTAGGATTTGAATCCCTGCATTGCTGTGTGGCCCTGGGCACACACTCTGTTTCAGAAAACCCTCAAGGTCTTGATAAGTCAGACAAAATGACATTATTTTGCTATTTCGCTGGCCTTGTTCTCTTTCTTCTCTTGTTCAGCCTTTGTCTTGGCCCCTACTCACCAAACAGGTGGTGCTTTTTCAATCTTGCTCTATCAAGAGATACCATCTTAAATGAAAAAAGAGAGAGATGTGGGAGATGGGGGCTTTAGCTCTGCCTTTTTGCAATGTCTTCTTCTGATAATAGCGATAATAGCGAATTTTATATTTTGATTATACTTGGGTCAGAAACATAACAAAGTATCACAGTGGAAGACCTAGAGAGGCCCACAATGACTTCTGAGTGTAGGGTGGAGTTATTTTTTGGAGAGTGGGTGAGTGAAACGATGGATATCCAATCCATTGATAAGGGGGACTTACTGCAGAAGTACCTTAACAAATGCAAGTTTCCAAATCTGAGTTTCCTTTGGTAGCACAAGAGGTAACATTTGTGCATTTGTACCCACTCATGTTATTTAGCATTATGAAGTAGGTCAGTGATGGAATGTGCTACCTTCAAGTGTGGTGAGGTCTCTTTCTCTGGAAGTTTTAAAATAGAGACTGGGTGCTGTCAGGGATGCTTTGATTGGGTTTTTCTGCATGGAAGTGGGTTGGTCTAGATGGCCCCTCATGGTTTATTCCAGCTCTATGATTCTGTGATTCTAATTAAACAGACAGAAAATAAGATGAGGTCTGCTACTTCAGACTAAAGACTTGTCTTCACCAGCCAATGGATGCCTTTTGGAGACCCATCAGGAAGGTTCAAGTGCAGTAGCATCCTTCTGCTCCTGTTCTAGAGCAACAGAGACATATTGTTCAGAATAACGGAGAAAACCCATTGTCTAATTTCAGGGAGCTGTTGCCAGCTTTATGTTTCATGAATTTGTTCAACTAAATCCTCTTAAAGCCATTCAGATTGGCACCTCTTATTACATTTTTCTAGTATGAAATTCCACAGCTGTGCAAAGTACTTTGTTTTATCTGCCTAGAATCTCTTTCTGTGCATTTTCACTGGATGCTCCTAGCTTGTGGTATTGGGGCACAAATATCTTTCTCTGATTTCCTCAAATAATTTATTTATTTAATAGAGATCTCAATTATTTTATATTCTTTTACTACATCCCTCTTTATTCACCTTTTTTTTTGGGGGGGAGGCCCAGATATGAATTCAAAAAAGCAGATTTGTGCTCTCTTTTTTTTGAAATGATTCTTCAAGAGAGCCTCAGTCCAGAGTTCACAGCTCTGTATAAACAAGAGAAGCAGCTATATGGGAAGGCAAAGAACTATAATAGTGAGTTTAAAGTAACCAGTTCAGGACTGTCCCAGGTCCAGAGCTTTCAGTGGCATAACATGAGACCTGAAGATGGACCCCGGAGATGTTATTATGCATAAAATGTCAACTGCAGTTGTTCACCTGCTTGGGGAGATGGTATAAACATTTACAACCTCATTACATTGGCAAATTTTCCTATAATAGAACACTTTGCCAGATCTCATCACATGACTGGATCTCATCACATGACACACAGCTACTTCCAGCGAGGCTCCATTCTGGCTGTGTTGACAAAGTGTTCTACAATGGGGAACTCTGAACATGTGTGGCTACCCATGTTCAGATAAAAGGAGCAAGCTGGAAAGGTATGCTTTGTGGCGTGTGATGGGTAAGCAGGTGATGTGGGGCACTGGGTGATGGATTTGCCCCACTGACCCACAGTTTACCCTGGTGCCCTACAGATTCCCTGCTTTAAGGACCTCCATGTGATGAGGTCCTTAATCTAGCCAGAATATGGATACTGAGTAGAATGGAAGCATCCAGAGAATAGAGATGGGCAAAGATACCAGCAGATTGCAAACATCAAAAATATGAATTCGAGGTATAAACAGTTCAATGTCTAACTTGCTGTAATGTTAGAAATTTAGGGATTGAAGTAAATCTTAATTGTGGTAAAATTCATATGGGATGACAATGCCTTTAGTTTGCATCCTCCCCCCCCCCCCCCCCCCCCAATATGTTTGTAACCTAGAGAAGTTTGTAACCTTGTTCTGGAGAAGCAAAGCTTATAACTTGGAAAATAAACATGAGATTACAATTTATTTATTTACTGTATTTGTGCCCTGCCCTTCTCAACCTCATATGGGGCTCAAGGCAGATTGCATATATAGGCAACATTTAGATGCAAAAAAAAAAAAATCCCACACATAATAAAAACATAAGCATTAAAACAATCATTGAAATATAATAAAACCTTAAAACCAATTATTGAAAATCACACAATTCAATATTGTAGTCCATGGCCATTCCAACTTGTCGTTGCACTATTTCATCTTTTCTTATTGCACTGATAGATTATTCAATGAATGTTTGGAATGATGATACGGCTATTAATACTTTAATTTTACTATTTTAATGAATGTTTTACTTATTGTTTTAATTGTTATATTGCTCTGTTATATGTAGTGGCATCGAATTGCTGCCAAATGTAAGCCGTCTTGAGTCCCCCCTTCGGGGGTTGAGAAGAAACGGGATAGAAATATCGGAAACAATAAATAAATTGGTCGAACATCCATGTTTTTAATCTTTTCCTAAAGGTTGTATGTCTTCACTTCTGTTCAGGGTTTAGAGTATTTCCTAGTCATATTCATAGACAGCAGACATATAATAGACATAAAGCACAACTGCAAGACTTTTGTTAAAGAATGTGAGAGCAAGCTGTGCTAACTACCATAATAATTATTACATTTAAGACAGAATTAAAAATAGTAAACCAAATGAATATTGTCAGGCTACAAAACCACCAATATATTAAGAGTTAAACTGAGCTATTTCTATTGTATTTATTATAGCAGCCTATATTTTGAAAGCCACTGAAGACTTAGCAATTAGCATATTAGGAAGATGATGCTATCGCTGTTGAGCAGGGAGCTGAAGAGAAACTGATACAGTATTATACTGCGTTGTTAATTAGATATCGAGAAGGTTTTCTGTAGTGCACCCATACTCAGATTGCAATTACACTTCAATAAATTCTCCATGGCTTCATTCAAAATCCAGAGCACAGCCAGAACAAATCCCCACAACCACTTCGTGTATAGCCCAGCATTATTTTTCTCTTTTCATTCCCTGCAAACCCATTGGATATAAATCATTTGGAATTATTCCAAGCCTGTTTCAGATGCATATTTTAATACGTAATTACAAAAACACAGAAACACAGCCTTTCTCTACCTGTGAACAGGTTCTGCCTAGAATTCCTCCTATTGATAAAATAAACTTGTTTTGTTATTTTTGCTATCACTTGAAATACTATGGACTCTTTTCCCTTGGAGTCTTTGGATATCACTAAATGGCTGGTCAGTAAATTGTCCTCAACATCACCAGATGAAATTACATCATTTAAACAGCTAGAAATTTTTAAAAAAACCTCATAAGCAATGAAATAAATGCAGATAGAAAAAGAAATACCGTAGTTATTCATTGAGATGCAGAAGCAATGGGCATAGAAGACAAAATTTGAAGAGGGAAATCACGGGAAAAGTTCAACTGATTATGTAAGAGTAAATTAAAATTAAATAAGACTCTAGTAATATCGCTGACTCCCCTCTGCTCCTTT